AAAAATACTAAAGCATTCAGTGTTGATGTCGTCTGGCGTGTGATGTCTGCTCTGGGTTCAAAGCAAACAAAAACTAATGCATGAATTCCATTACAACATAACATTTTTATTGCAAAAATAGGCAGCTGCACCTGTTACTGTATTAGCAGCAAAACAACAAACTGCATACATGCAGTTTCTCAGTGACTTTAAAACATCACCACCATCATAAAACTTTTTCTGATGCTCCAAATACAGAAAAACATCCCTTACCAGGGTTTTTAGAATAAATAAAAAAATCTGAAAATAAGTTTAAATGTTAAATAATAGTTAACATCACTTAAATGCAACAGCAAATTCTCTCATTGCTACTGAACATTTTCTCCACTTATGTGGTTATGATATAAGGCTGTTGCTGCTATTGGGAAGTGAACTGTGCTGGGCCAAACTAGGAGAATATTAAGATTTTCTGAGGGAAAGATAAAAACAATTGTCTACCTTTCAGAAGAGGAACTGGCAAAAAACTACATGGAAAATATGTGAAAACGTTTGTTTTTAACCCCAAATTGAACAAGTCTACCTAGATATTAAAAAGCAGCTCAGATGATGAAACTGCAACTATGATTCTGATAACAAGCTAACAAATTGAACTAGCTCCTCTTAAGACAACCGGCCAGCAGAGCTTCTGACTGGCAGTTTATGTGCAGCAGCAAATCAACTATCCTGATTAACAAGGTTATAAAAGCTCATAAATGAAAAATCACTTTGATGTGTGGGGGAACTTTTCCAGGCCCTCTTTAGCAGGGTGGGACTGGGAGGAGAGTGCTGTAGCCTTTTAGCTGGAAGCTAACCGGAGCCTGGGGCTAACATCACCACCCAGTGGAACACTAGCGACATGGAGGCAGGTGGGTTGGTTCACCGGCACGTGTCAGAGTCAGCCCGGTTACTATCAGCTGCTTAACGACACCGAACGGACTCACGTTCACGTTTGAAAGCAGCGCTGATTCCAGAAACCTCAGCACAAAGTGCGTTTGTTAATCTGAGCCAGCATGACGAACAAGGGAAGCGAGCGGCAGCGGAAAGCGGGAGCGGAGATAGTGGAATTTTGGGGTAAGGGTCTACATAGGGGGCAGGCGTCTTAAGTGAACGGACTCATCTGATTGGCTGAATATCAGAAGGGCTACATTTGATTGGTCAAATAATACTTCCGCGTAAAAAACAGAGCTGGTTTACAAAAAGGTGGTGTATGACACGGATGTAAATGTTTGAACCAAACATTTATCGCCGTTTTTGACGTGCTTTGCGATGGGCCTATCGCATGTCCTGTTATCGCGATGACGATAATTTTTCGATATATTGTGCAGCCCTAGGGTGTATGGTATCTCAGACTTTACGGATGCTGTCGCTATTAGGTGTACAGACTATTTCAGCGGGAACTTATTTTAAGACATCAAAGGCTGTACACAAATCTGTCCATCATTTTGGCTTGGGTAGAACAGCAGTCCGCTTTAATGCAACAACTGAAGGAAGACGGTGGTGGTATGATGTTGTCTGGTGACTGCAGATCTGACAGCCCTGGTCAAAGACGCAAAATATGGTTCCTACACACTCATAGAGGAGAGACCAAACAAGGTCATTGATGTACAGCTTGTGCAGGTATGCAGACAAATATATGTCAAAACTTATCTGGTAGTGAATTTAACCGTTTTGTGTTATGTGTGTTTTTCATCTATTACTTTAGAGTTCTGAGGCTCCAAACAGCTCCTGGTGTGAGCTTGAGAGGCTGAAGAGGAGCATCACGCTCTTCTCAGATAATGATACGAGTGTCGATGTACTTGTAACGGATCGCAATCCAAAGGTTGCAAAGTGGGTCAGAGAACAACTTGGACCACAAGGATGGGAGGTGGTGTAATGTGAAGATATTTAGATGTCACCATTTGTTATTGCGTGAAAGCCCTCAGCAGTCGGGATTATTCCACCTGATGATTGGAGTTTAACAGAAAACGCAACATTCACATCATCCTGAGTTCATCCAGCTGAAGTGGTTTTCCTCTCTGAGCCGGACTCTTGTTCTGCAGGCCGAGTGGAAGTGTTCTGTTGCCGTCCGCCTCTGCAGCACCGCTGGGACTCATACTTTGGTTTCTGTTGTAATTTAAAACCGTTCAGCAGCCGTGATTCATCAAGTCCGGCTGGTATTTCGGAGCTTGTGTGGAACAAAGACTTTGTTTGTTCTCCACACACACAGCGACACTCGTAGCCTCCAAATGAACAACAAAAACACAAGTCCACTGCATGCTGCACTATTTATATCAGGTTTGCTTGCACTGGTTGGCTGCAGGTTTAAAATACATCCATGACTGTATGTGAGGTCTTCAGTTCTTGGAAATATAAAAGTAGTTCAGGATATGACAGAAATGGAATATTCAGTGGGTGCAGAGCTGTGGGTTTAATCAGGTTTCAGGCTGCGGCGGCCAGTGAAGGGTATTCTTGGTATAAGTATTCAAATGAGCAGCTGGAAAAGAATTTTCTTCTCCAAATAAGAAGTTGTACAGATAGTCAATAATCACATTTACAGATAAATGAGGCTATAATTATCCTCAGAAGCCTAACTGCAGTCCATAATTTCCATTTTTGTCCTTATTCACATTTTATTTTGACTTTTTTTTTCTAGCTTGATATCAGTCTTTGTGTCTCACCTGTCCAAAGCATGAGCGGTCCAAAGCGCAATACTCAGTTCCACTAGTAGGTTGCACTGTCACCACACGGACGTTGAATTAGAAATCCTGTTTTGAACATTTTAATCTCGTGAAATGAGAACCAGGTTTATTGTGAACGTTGTTTTGGATGACAGCCTAGCGTCTCATAAACATATCGATATAATCTAGAATGACGGGTGAATTATGGAGTTTTAAAAGAATAAAGTCATTGTTGATCTGATTGTCTTTAAACTCTTTCAAACCAAGAAATGTAACAAATTTGTATTTTTCATTCATTTGTGGCAGTGGGTATATTATATAGTGTAAATTTAAAATATCTCTAATAAGGTAATATATAACAGAATAGGATAATTAGAGGGTTTTTTATACAAACATCCTCCCAGAAATGTTATTAGGTATTTTCAGTTAAGTTCAGTGAAAATTTGAATAGGTTTGGGGACTAAAAGTGTTCTAGCTGCTGATCAACTGGTTAATGGGCCAAAAGCTAATTTCACCAGTATGAAATATTAAATTATTCTAGTTTTAAAACAGCTGCTGCTCAGGATTTTGCCTTCAAACAAGATTGAATCATTTGGTATTTACACAGTTTATTGTTTCATATCCAATAACCTTTTACACTTGTGAAGGTGGGTTTCTGCTGAGCTGATGAATAAATGAGACCATTTCCCTTCTCTGGTTTAACTTTTTAATTTTTGTTTGTTTGTTTAATCAAAATCTTCTACCCAAGCCTGTCTGTCAAAATAAGCTAATCATTAGCATGCTAGTAGCTAACTGTAGCCTAGCTATCACCCTTTTATTTTGTAAACAAATATTTTAAAACATTGTTCTGTTTTGTGTTTTGATTTATTTTCCCTTTTAAAACAGTTTAAGGGTAAATAAATGTTTTACATTGTCATAATTTACAGCACCACGCGTGTACGGGTGCCACTTAGCATTAGCATTCCAAAATGGCTGAAAATGCTTCACTGAGATATTGGAGATTATTATAAATTGCACAGACCAGTTTTTTTCTGCCAAGGCTGTTTAAAAGAAAAATGTCTTTACTTTCTTTTTTACTTACTTTCATACATTTTGGGACCTGACTTGTGTTTGAAATGCTTTTATTAATTAATTCAACAGGTCACTGCAGCAGGATTCTCTGAAGAAGTCCCAAATTAGCATTTAACAAAAATAAATAAACTAAGAAACATTTAGAGATGAAGCTACAACCCTGAGTGTTGCCTTGGATGGTCCTTTGGCCATTTAGCTAATTAAATACGTAGTTGGGTAAAAATAGTGGTTTTTTTTTTGTTATAATAACCCACGGTTAAAGTTGGACACCAAAAACAACCCACTGTTATGGTGTCCTTTCAATCTGTTGACTGAATATAATTTTCTAATTCGGATCTGTTTGACTTTCATGGATGTAAATGAAAGAAGTGGATTTGGTTCTTGGACTTTTTAGCAAAACAATGTGTGTTTTATCTGTACACGGAAAATCTGTTAAAAATAACCCGACCGGAAAATAAAGGTGTGTGTTTTTGCTTCAAGGCCAGAACACGTCAAGGATTCACTGAATCCAGTCAGGCCAGAATCCCGTACTATCACTGGAGCGGCTGGAATCTGATGAGATTCCTGAAGGACTGGTTTTCTGTTTAGGGCTGCACTTCTGTTTCCATCCACCTGAAATTTTCCAGAGGATGTTTGACTCAGTCAGACTTACAAACCCAAGGGATGAGCCAGTGTTTCAGAAACATACTAATTCAGCTTCTTCTCGTTTTCTCCTATTGGAATGTAGAGGTTACAAAGCTGGGAGGGAACTCTAAACTTCCTCTCCCCAGTGACATCTCCAACTCCTCCTGAAGGATCCCAAGACATTTCCAGGTCAAGAGAGGAATTATCTCTGCAGAGAGTTCTGGGTTTCCTCCCAACCATGGTACCTAACCTGGAGGACAACTGTTCCTGCCTCTTAGGATCTCATTCTTTTGGACAAACACGTTATCATCGGTGAGGATCAGAATGGACAAGCCGGTAAATTCAGAGTCGTTCAGCTCCTTCTTCAGTCTGTCCACCTCTGACCCCTCCACCCCATTACCCTCAATCTGGAGAGGAATCTCCATGTTCCTTTGTCTGGCTCAAACATTCAGTTCCTTCTCATTTCTTTAGACGAATCTATGAAAAGTCCCAAACAAAACCCCAGCAAACTCCATCAGAAGGATGAAGTATGTCTCACGTCCTGCTGGACGACCTGACTCCTGGAGCTCCAATCTGGGCTCAGAACGTCTCCCCCTGCTGCAGAGAGATGAAAGCTGAGCAGCTCCTCACCTGGAGGTCACCAGTGGTCTCTGAGCGTCTGGATCCATAAGCTCTGGTGAGTTCCTCCATGAAGGAGCTGTTCCTCATCTCCTCCTGCAGGAGGCTGCTGCAGACAGCATGAGGCGAGAGCTCAGGTGAAGTCGCCACAGGTCGGTCGGTCCACTCACCTTCCGTCCAGAAGCGCGGAGCTCGAACAGAAATCCAAAAACTGTGTCCGTGTCCACGGATCCGCTGACTGCCGGATCCGCTCCGCCGCCCACCGGGTTCTGCACGTCAGAGCGGAATAAAAGCAGCTTTATCGGTTCACCTTGGCAGCCCGACTCCTCCCTCTCCCTCACAGCTCTCCATCATCAAGCGCCTCCTCTCTCTTCCCTTCTGCGGAGCTGAAGGAGCGTTTCGTGACTCTGCTGATGAGCACCCAGCCTCCTGAGGTTCCGGGAGAGGAAGATGCTGACGAGAGCGCTGATTGGTCAGAGAATTCCACATTTTAGGACTTCTTAATTATTTTTTTGTCTTGTGAAGAAACCAACATACTTTATAATCTCCAAGCTTCTGAGGGCCCTTGATACGGTTCCCTGTGTTGTACTTTAGTACTTAACATGTCTGTAACTTTGGCTGCCTCTTGGCCAGGATTCCTTTGGAAAAGAGGTTTTAATAATCCCAACGGGACCTTCCTGGTTAAACAATAAAGCTCCAACGAGATCAGTTATGGAGACCTGAATGTGTCAGAAATGTAAAAATAAGCATTAAAAATGCATCTAATATAAAAAGTTCATCCTGAGTTCTGACGTCCAAATATGGCAAAAGCAAACTTAATATTTAGTTAACATGCCAAAGCATAGAAATCTGCCAAAATAAAAGCTGGATTATGAGATCTCCTATAAAGTCTCTTTGTTAACCTAAAAGAGGTTCTTAACCTCGATGGGTCTCTATCCTGGTTAAATAAAGGTTAAATAAAAAAAATAAAAGGAGCCCTATAGACTCACAACCCTGCCTATTAGGGATGTGTACTGGTGAAATTCTGGTGATACAATACGTACCACGATACGGGGAGACGATGTGATACATTCAGCCAGATGATATTAGCGATTCTTTTAGACTGAATTTACTGCAGGAAAAATCAACAAACAGTCCAAACTGATATGTAACATGTTTACCATGAAGTATCTGGACCATAATAGAGGGATTTACAATTCAATGGTGCAAAACAAAACCCATTGTACACTGCTGCCAACTAGTGGTTGGTGTTTCAATTGCGTTAAAAGAAAAGAAAATAGACAAATATTTGCATGTACATTGTTCCAAAAATTCGATACACGACTTTTGAATATCGATATAATATCGCAGTAAAAAATATCACGATGTATTGCCATATTTTCTTACGTCCCTACTGCCTATTATTAGATCTTATATGGTCTCTACAAATGTACACGTTTAACAAATATTTAGTTCAAAACTGTCAAATTTAGTTTGTTTGATATTTAGATGTCACTTTATTTAGACTTTTCAAACAAGTACTAGATTTAATTTTGTATATTTAGATTTTATTTCTGATTATTATGGTTTAAATATTTACACATAACATTGTACTGATGTTGTAGCAATGTGAGATCACTGGCCAACAAGATGGAGGAACTCCAAGCCCTTTCAAGGACTCAGCCAGAGTTTCGGCAGTTTCGGAACCGCTGGAGGAGATAATGCAAAGAAGGATTCTCCAGAGAATCAAGAAAATGATGGACAACCCTGAGCATTCTCTTCACAAGACTGTCCGACAACGGAAGAGTATCTTCAGTCAGAGTCTTCTTCAGTTTCGCTGCAACACTGACCGCTACTGGAGATCCTTCCTGCCAACAGCCATTGTAATATACAACAACTCTTTGATGACTTGATTATAATTATTATTATTCTGAACTACTACAGCAATCAATTTCCCTCTGGGATTAATAAAGTATTGTTGAATTTGAATTTGAATTTGAATCACATATGATTATTTAAACTTATGTAAAGTCATGGAGTCTTCACTTATTCAGTGAAGAATGCTGACGTCTGGCTTTCACACACAGATGGCAGGAACCTCGAGGGAGACTGTTCGTCTCCAGTGAGGAACAATAAGTTGGCAAAGGGTTGTTTTGGGCGTCTGGGCCCCGACAGATGGTGCAGCCTTGAATGTGTATGAAAGGTTATGTTGTGTCAAACTGGCCCCTTTGATACGTAACAATGTGATACTCAAAAAGTAACGTTTTAACTTCACACTTGATTTTATTAGCAACGAGGAGCTAAATGGCTCACGTTATTAGAACAATTAGCAAATATACTCATCTGTTTGTTTTGCTTTTAAAACGACAGACATTTGTTGTCATTTTTAAGTGATATTGAAAATTTATCCTTCAAGCTTTCTGAAAGTGTTTTGCATCAATAAGAACATTTCCAACAATATATGAGGCTTCAATGATACTTATTTTTTTTATGATTAAATAATGTTTAAAAAAGATATTTAGCTTTGAGTATAAATAATAAAATCTCACCTGAATGTTAGAGTTTAAATGTGAATTTAAAAACACACTAGAAAGCTGTATCTTACCAAAATAAAAGCGTGGTAAAAAGTTCTATTTAGGGTGAGTCCATGGATCATTTATCAGGACGAACCGAGACAGGACCAACTAAAGGAACTTCTAGGAGATCTCTTCATCCCTGTGGATTTTATGTCCATCTAAAATATTTAGTTTAAATATCATAAACTTTACCTGCATGTGAGGCCCGGATGACTTCCTTCCAAAGTTCACACTGTTGTGGTTGGAGGTCACATGACTCTGAGTTAATCAGCACATCTCAGTCTTCCTGAAGCTCATTTGACTTCCAAACGTCTAAATTAAACTAAATTCAAATGATGCTGAAGTGGTTTGTGTCTGACGCCGCTGCTGCTGCTGTGTTTCTACTGGCCTCGCCAAGAATGCTTCACATTTTAATTTGAGCTTTAGTTTGTGGAAGGGCTTCAAGTGGTGGTCCCCAGGAGGAACTCTTCTTTTTGTTAAAGCCAACGACAAAAACGTGTCAGAAAACGGCCTCTTGTTTTCATCCCTCAGCTGTGAAATCTCATCTTGCTGTTGAATCATTTCTGTGATGCATTGCTGATTTTTGCTGCTAACGTCAGAGCTTCAGGTTGTTTCCTGTCCGGCTCGGATGAGAAACCGTGCCGTAACGGCTCATTTTTAGACTGATGGGGAGTCTAAAAATGGTCCGAGCTGTTTGTGGTTCCCAGCAGGCGGGTTGGAAGCTGCTCTGAAGTGGTTTTACAGCTGACGTAGCCCCAGTGATGGAATCCGCCCACGCTGAGCTGCTGATGGTGTGATGCTGAGGAGTGGGATCGCAGGAATCAAACTACAACCCATTTGACTCCAATCATCATCGTGTTGATTTCCCTCCAGAGGTTCACGCACCTGCAGAGCGGCGGTCTACAAGCATCTTTGCATCAGGGACTCATTTCAGACACAATTACTTTCCCACAGACCACTGATCATATTTTATTCAAAATAAATAAAAAATGAACTGCAGATGATGCTGGTCTGTCGTCCAACTGTGATCAGCAGCAACTGACTGAAACTGATTAAATAAATAATAAACAAATAAGAAGTGTTTCCGTTTATTGGAGATGTTATAGGTTTTTATAGCAAAAAAATACATGTCAGTTATTTAAAATGTTATTAAAATTGTTTTTAATTTGTAATTTTTTTTAGTTTAATTCATTTTTTAAATGGTGAGTAGCAGAAACATGTATTTCATTTTTATTCAGATCATTTATGTACTCATTAATTGTATTATTACATATAATACATATGTTTCTGCTGCTCACCATTTAAAAAAATGAATTAAACTAAAAAAAATACAAATTAAAAACAATTTTAATAACATTTTAAATAACTGACATGTATTTTACTGAAATGTTTGTGTTTATAAAAAAAAGCAAGTCACCCCCAAATCAACTTTTTTTCCTGATAAACTATATAAATTTGTGTCTAATCGTCCTGCAGACACATGTGGTTAATAGTTTTGCACTTCAGTGCATTTTAGTTAAAATTTAAATTTTCTGCCTAAAACTGTCAGTGTTGTGCCATTTTCAGGTAAAAACTCTGCACTGCATTTGAATTTAAATCTCCCATCGCTATTGGCTAAGAGGTACCCTAGAACGTTAGCTGGTACCATATGATGTCACAATGTCGTTGTGAGCATGTGTGTGTGTGTATTTGTTAGCGGCTCCGCCTTCTCGGTCTGCTAGGCAACAGCATTTGTTGCATTTTTCAAACAGGAAGTGGGAGTGGAGTAATACTCTGGTAGGGGTGACTTGCTCTTTAAATGTTTTGGATACGTACTGTTTAAAAAAAATAAAATAAAGGAGCAATGCAATACATCGTCACAGGCTAAACTCCCCCAGAGCTACTACAAGGATCAATTTGGTATGCCACCCCAAAGATTTCTTTGGCCCTGTCTGGCCACCCCTATCAAAATTTCCTCGAGGCACCCGATTCACACGCAAACATTCATATAGATACACAATGATTACACTGCCACCTAGTGGTTCACAACATAACACACGCCCAGCCCTATACATGTCTGCTGCCCCCTGGTGGAGGATTCACAGGTGGTGAAGACCTATTTTAATATTTACCGCATTGGTAAATACAGTCAAATAAAACTGGTTAAGGTGTGGGTATTGCATTAACAGATAATCCACCATCACTATCAGCTAAAACAGTACAGCTTGAAGTCTGCTGCACTGCCACTGTGGGGTAAAGACTACGTTCACACTGCAGGCCTTGATTCTCAAATTGTCATGATGTGGTGTGGGTGGCGGCGGACCATGTGTGGTGGAGCTGACCAGGAGACAGGAATGCAGGCACGGATAACATAAAAATGGATTTAATGGCAGGATATGGCAGGAAACAACAAGACACAACACAACAAACAACAATGATCCGACACCTACACATACAAGACGGGAGGTATAAATACACAGGGGAAAATCAGGAACACATGGGCAGGTTAACAAGGGGCAGGTGAGACCAATAAACAACTAATCAGGGGCAGGAGAGAGTAGGAGTCAGCGGGAGGTAGAAGCAGATCGTGACAGTACCCCCCCCCCCCCCCCCCCAACCCCCCCCCCCCCTAAGGGGTGGATACCAGACGCCCACAAGACCCACATAACTCGGGAGACCAGGGTACCAGGGATCCGGAACATGGAGGCACAGGGACCTCGGAATGAAGACACAGGAACACTGGAGACTCGTGACGTAGACTCGGGGAAGCTCTGGGAAGCACTGAAGACTCGGGACCTAGGGGGCACTCTGCAGACAAAGAGACTCTGGAGACTCGGGAAACTCTGGAACATAGACTCGGGGAACGTAGACTCGGGAACCCTGGAGAGGCTACAGATGAAGACCATGCAGGTGACGACCCTGCAGGCATAGATCCTGCAGGTGTAGGCCCCGCAGGCGTGGACCAGGTAGTTGATGTACTGAGGCAGCAACGCGAGGAAACCAGGATCAGAGCAGGTGCACATAACGATCCGCTGGGTCCACAGGCGGAGGCTCGGGTGAAGGGAAGTGGAAGAGGAGCAGGGAGACCAGCCCTGCCACCCCGGAGAACGTTGGAGTGCGTAGGGGTGTAACTCCACCAAAACTCCAGGACCTGCAGCTTCCGTGGAAAAAACAGGACGGGGCGGACAGCAGGAGAGGAGAATGGGTCCGACCACCCCGGGAACAGGTAGGATGCGCAGAAAACCCTCGAGCCGGAATCTCCTTCCGCTGGTTACCCTAACCAAATATTTGTTCAATTCAATTCAAGTTTATTTATATAGCGCCAAATCACGACAAGAGTCGTCTCAAGCCACTTCACATAATAAACATTCCAATTCACAGTTCATTAAGCCAATCAGAAATAATGTTTCCTATATAAGGAACCCAGCAAATTGCATCAAGTCACTGACTAGTGTCAGTGACTATACAGCAATCCTCATACTAAGCAAGCATGCAGCGACAGTGGAGAGGAAAACTCCCTTTTAACAGGAAGAAACCTCCAGAGAATCCTGGCTCAGTATAAGCAGCCATCCTCCACGGCTCACTGGGGATCGAGAAGACAGAGCAGGCAGACAGACAGACAGACAGACACACACACACACACACACACACACACACACACACACACACACACACACACACACACACACACACACACACACACATACACACACACACACACACACAAAGATAAGTAATGTGTCTATAGTTATATTGTGATGTCTTAGTAAATATTGTATTTGGTGAAAGATAAACTTTATTGTATTTATCCTAGTGGATCTATAATTAAACGGATAAACTAGTATTAGCACATCAAAAGTCAATGAAAACAAAAAGTTATTATCAGGAGAGAGAGAATGTATTAGTGGTTAGCAGCAGTGTGCTAGTCGATGGCCCCCTCCATGAGGCCACCACAGCTGAGCAGAACGTCATTGTAGCTTCTTCTGGGGAGAAAAACACTTACAGAGAAAATAAAGTTAACAGCTGAAATTGCACAAAATAGTACAGTTAAAGAGCAGACTGTAGAAGAAAGCAGTAGAGTGTGAAAAGTGGTCAGTGTGTCCTCCAGCAGTCTAAGCCTATAGCAGCATAACTACAGAGTTAACTCTGGATAACCTATCCTATTTAGATGTAGGCATGTTGGAGGCAGGGCAAGGGAGAGCCGTCTTTACCGACTGTACACTCCACCTCCCTGTATTCCCCAACTTGTCCAGATTTAGGCTAACGTCAGATTTTAACTATAAGCCCTATCAAATAAAAATGTTTTAAGCCTATTCTTAAAAGTAGACAAAGTGTCTGCCTCACGGACTAAAGCTGGGAGATGGTTCCACAGGAGAGGAGCCTGATAACTAAAAGATCTGCCTCCCATCCTAAGTTTAGATATTCTTGGAACCACCAGTAGACCTGCAGTCTGAGAGCGAAGTGCTCGGTTAGGAACATATGGAACAATCAGATTACTGATGTATGATGGACCTTGATTATTAAGAGCTTTATATGTGAGAAGAAGGATCTTAAAATCTATTCTGAATTTAACAGGTAGCCAATGTAGGGAAGCTAAGACAGGAGAGCTATGATCTCTCTTTTTAATTCTCATCAGAACTCTAGCTGCAGCATTTTGGACAAGCTGAAGACTTTTAACTACATTCTGTGGACTTCCTGAGAGTAATGAATTACAGTAATCCAGTCTTGATGTAATAAATGCATGAACTAGTTTTTCAGCATCACTCCTGGAAAGTATGCTTCTAATCTTAGCAATATTCCGAAGGTGGAAAAAGGAAATCCGACAAACTTGTGAAACCTGGGATTTGAATGACATGTCCTGGTCAAAGATAACACCAAGGTTCCTTGCTTTGTTCTCGGAGATTAATGTAATGCCATTAAGGTCAGGCGATTGGCTAAGCAATTTCCTTTTCTGGATTTCTGGTCCAAAGATGAGAACTTCCGTCTTGTCTTGATTTAAAAGCAAGAAGTTAAGAGTCATCCAATTTTTTATGTCCTCAAGACAAGCCTGTAATCTACCCAACCGATTAGGTTCATCAGGGTTAATGGATAAATATAACTGAGTATCGTCAGCATAACAGTGGAAGTTTATCCCATGCTGTCTAATGATTTTACCAATTGGGAGCATATATATAGTAAAAAGAATTTGCCCAAGCACTGAACCCTGTGGTACTCCGCAAGTAACCCTGGAGTATGAAGAAGATTTGTCATGTACATTTACAAAATGAAATCTGTCAGACAGGTAGGATTTAAACCAGCCTAACGCTGTTCCTTTGATCCCTACAACATGTTCAAGTCTTTCTAAAAGAACATTGTGATCAACTGTGTCAAAGGCAGCACTGAGATCTAACAAGACCAGAACAGACACAAGATTCTTATCTGAGGCCATAAGAATATCATTTGTAACTCTCACTAATGCAGTTTCAGTGCTGTGATACTCTCTAAAACCAGACTGAAATTCCTCAAACAGAGCATTAGTGTTTAAATGCTGACATACTTGGATGGCCACTATTTTCTCCAGGACTTTGGATAAAAATGGAAGGTTAGATATTGGTCTGTAATTCATTGGGTCATCTGGATCCAGAGAAGGCTTCTTAAGTGAAGGTTTGATTACAGCAACCTTAAAATCTTGTGGTACATACCCATTTACTAAGGATATATTGATTATATCTAGAATGGGGGCAGTAACCAAAGGAAATGCATCTTTAAATAATTTGGTTGGGTTAGGGTTACCCTAACCAAATATTTGTTGGTTTCACTACATTTTGTCAAACAGGTCATAATGTCTGAAGGTTTCCCCGACTCTGAATCAGACGAAGTCTTTCCACGGAGATTTAAAAAATACCGAATCATCACATGAAGTTTAAGATTAAATTTAACAAAACTTGTTAAATATGAATTACATTTGATTTATATTTTATTTACACAAAAAATAATTTAAGCAAACACAAACTCATGGTTGGTCAAACTAATACTTTAAATTCATTCTCGAAATCAAACTATTTTTATGAAAATTTGTCTTTTAAAAAAATTACTTTAAAAAATCCAACATTTTTAAGTGGTTTAAGAAACGCAGTGCAACTGTTTTTGTTCACAAGAAGTAAAATTTATGTTAATTTCACTAAATTGTGTTTAAAATTAAATCCTAAATTTTTTTTCTGCTTCATTAAAGGTATAGAAATCGATGTTTTTCTTTCGGGTGGATCACGTCAACCATTGGTCCGCAAAAATGTCAATTTCTGGTGAAGCCAATCCTGGGTTAGTTTTCACTTCCTGCGCATGCGCACTCTGTGCACCACCGCACTCTCATGGAAATCAGGAAGAGGCTAACGCGGTCCAGTCTGCTCGCCAAAGACGCCGCTGTTGCCAGTTTTCTGCTCGAGAGGTAAGCTAACGTTCTGCATGCTATTTTTAGAGCCTCTTATTACACATTCCGGCTGGCAGCTACTTGTAAACAGGCGCTGGGAGAGTTTTGCGCAACGTGGAGAGGGCGGTTCTTTCCTGAAATTCAGAAACATTGATTGCTATACCTTTAAGCAGGTCTTTGTTTAACTGACGTAAACCCAACAAGAATTCATTATTTATTTCACTTAAACTAGTTTTTAATATTAGTGAAGTAGGATTGTTTTGTCTGTTTGAGACATAATTGTTGTTTGCATTTATAATTTACCCTTTTTTATCATTGCAATCCTGATTTACCAGTTTAAGTTGTATTCTGTTGGTGGAAAACCATGTGTGTAGTTTTATTTTTTTTAACCTTTTTTGTAAGACATGTATGTAGGAAATGTGACCTTTGACCTCTGAACTGGTAGATCGATGCCACAAATTATTAAAGAGCAAGTCACCCCCTACCAGAGTATTACTCCACTCCCACTTCCTGTTTGCAAAATGCAACAAGTGCTGTTGCCTAGAAGACCGAGAGGGCGGAGCCGCTAACAAATACCCACACACACACACAGGCTCTCAATGACATTGTGACTTCATATGGTACCAGCTAATGTTCTAGGGTACCTCTTAGCCAATAGCGATGGCAGATTTAAATTCAACTGCAGTGCAGGGTTTTTACCTGACAACGGCACAACACTGACAGTTTTAGGTAGAAAATTAAAATTTTAACTAAAATGCACTAAAGTGCAAAACTATTGACTACACGTGTCTGTAGCACGATTTGGGGGTGATTTGGGGGTGACTTGCTCTTTAAGAATGGACAACTAGCAGAAACTTGAGACAATAGAAGTTTATAAATGTCGTTAATGATTTTATCTTCTGTAACAATAAAAAAATCAGAACTCCTTTAAATTTTTTATTTGACACCTGGAGAGCGTTTTGAGACCCCGTCTGGTTTTTCTCACCCAAACTTTAAAGTTTGCTACTGATAATAAAAAGTTTTCCACAGTGACTCGAAGGAAAGGCACAGTGTTGCATGATGGGTAATGGGTCTCTGTTAAACAATGGAGACGTAAAACTGGATTCTGCCCAACAACTATAACCTGAAGCTGGAGTTGATTGTCTAAAAAAACCATCTCAACCACGTGCAGAAGCAGAATTTACAATTCTGATCATCTGAAAACAAAATATTGAAGCAAACAGATCAAAAACAGTTTGTTGGTCACAGCAGAGCAGAGAACGGACGCAAGGGTCACAGTTTATCGGTTCCCCTCAACCAGGTGGGAAAAACTTAAAGAGAAACTGGTCCAGTACTCCTTTACTGCCACAGTGCTCACAAGCAAGGCACTTTTACAGCAGGTGCTGTTCCTGTGGAGCCGCTCAGCAGCAGCTCTCAGTTCAGTGTCTGAATAAACGAAAGCAAAGCTTCCCTGAAGAGTAAAATGACTCAAAATGAACAGAAATGTGTCCGTCCATGTTCCCAAACAGCAGATAAATAACATCAAACATTCTGGCGATTATGGCTGAAAATATACATTCTGACTTTTACAGATAGTACTACCTTAAAAATACACATGTGCAAAAGTTGTAAACAAAACGGATCGTGTGTCCGTGAGCGTTTCACAGCCTGGTGGGCTCGTCGTCGCTGTCACTGCAGTTCCCACAGCAGTCCTGTAGGGGGAGACGAAGAGCAGCTTTTACCCGTGGGGTCAATTTGACTCCATTCAATGTTCATCAATACAAAAATGGTAGTTAGTTATTTTTGGCTTCATATTTTATGACTTTCTAATCTGGTAGGGACAGCTGAGCATAAATATTCTACGGTGACATTTTTCGGTGATCTTGCACCATCGCTGTTCCTCTGGGGTTTTAGCTAAGTTAACCCGTGTGTTTAACGCCTGCAGGTGCAGGGCTCGACACAACCACTTGGTCTGGAGCTCTGGAGGAAAATATCCCTCGGGGTTAAATGGACATTCTGCTATAATGAAGGTGTAATTTGCCTGCGGCGTACCTCTTCTCCTCAGCTCGCGCCCTCAGACTCACCTGTCTGCCGAAGAGCCGCTGCAGCAGCCCGTGTTTGGGCGTAGGAGACGGCTGTCCTCTCCAGTCCAGGTCGCGGGACACCAAACCGTCCTCGTAGAAGACGTTCAGCTCCGTGAAACACTCCGTCTCGATCATCTGCAGGAAGGTAAACCAGCAGACAATCGGATATGAATTAAAACCAGAAACATGACAAAAAATCTAAACTAACTTTTAGAATTTAACGTTGTTCGTATTTTGGAACCAAATCCAGATAAATGGTTTGACCGTGAGAATTTTAGCCTTTCTCAGCTTCTAGAATTAGGTTTTATCAAATCCTGAATCATTATTTTTATCTGGATGGACCTGAAGACGTTTTCTCGTCTCCTGTGACTCGGTAAACCCTAGCTTCACTCCGTCACTTTTCGTGACCTCTCACCTCGTTCTGCCAGGGAATTGGAACGCTCCCCGTGGACACTTTGCTGTAGAAGGACTCGTCCTTTGGGTCGAGCTCCACGCCTTTCACAGTGGAGAACTGCTCGATGTCCAGAACATCTTTGCAGTAGATGGCCTGAGGCTGAAACGCAGCGACAAACAGCCCAGAAGAAGTTAGAGACACTAAAATGGCAGCAGAAGAAGAACGAGCCTCACTTCCTGTTGGAGGCTCTTCTGGGTAATTTAACCTTTTAATGTGGTCAAATCCACGGTAATTTATCAGATTAAATTAACTTCCTGTTCCTCACTGAGATGAGCATGAAAGTTGTTACGCACCCTCCTCCTGAAACAGTCGTAAATGAAAGCTTTCCTGTTAGTCTCAATCTGACTAAATAGCAAGCAAAATCTTTGTTGACCCACAGTTCTGGATTATTTATTACTATTATCTGAGTTTATTTATTCTTAATCTGAAATAGTTTTTGAATGATTCAAAAATCAGAATTTGAAACTTGCACTAAAAATGTTCTGATTCTGGACTGGAAAAGAGCCCGAAACTCTGGAGAACTTCATGAGAATTTTATTAATTAGATGAGATTAGATGAGATTAGATTAGATTAGATAGCATTTTTAAACCCTGGATGGAAAAGTAATTTTTCCTCTTTCTGCTGAGTTGGAGGGGAACTCACATCAGGGACGAAGGGCGGCTGCAGCATTCCGGCTTGCAGCCGTTTGAAATTCATGGAGCGGAAGATGGGATGACCTTTGACCTCGGAGGCTCCGGCCCCCTGGCAGCCCAGCCGCGCAGTGGGATCTTTGGCCAGCAGCTAAAAATACATAACAAACTAAACGGAGTAACTAATCTTCCACAACCCGCATGATTAAAACTCATTTCAGGTAAAAACATTCTAAATGTGCCGCAGAACCCAGAACATGTAAAAAAAGTGTTAAAAGAATTTTAAAATCCTGTAAATGTAAAAACTCATATTTGTATTATTTAGTATTTAAATACGGTCAGTAATGTATCATATATAAATATTTAATTCTTTTTAAACATTAAATATTCTCTCATAACCCCAAAACATCAAAAGTCATCAGTAGAGCTAATTATTACTGAGTAACTAGTAAATAATACAACTGATACATTAACTGTAGCAGTGATGTTTGTGTTTTTATAGCAAATGAAGTGGTAAGATTCTCTGTTTATTAGGAACTTGTTTACATTTAGTTTCTTTTTAGTTAATTTAATGTTTTTTTCCTATTTAAAGAGCAAGTCACCCCCAAATCAACTGTCTTTTCTGATAAACTATATAAATGCGTGTCTAATCGTGCTGCAGACACGTGTGGCCAATAGTTTAGCACTTTAGTGCATTTTAGTAAAAATTTTAATGTTCTGCCTAAAACTGTCAGTTCCATGCTGTCGTTCTTTTTAAAACACAGAAACAGTTTCGTTTCCTGTTGTTTTCTCTACGTTTCGTCTGCGGCTGCAGACTTCCTCAGGCTGACGCTGATGGTGGCGTCACTTCCTTCTCCATTTATCCGCGGGCGGCAGAGGACGTTGTCGCCCTCTGCTGTCCGCTCTTCCCTCTCCGACGATGCAGTCCCATGTGCAGTCCAGCGTGTAAACTCCGTCGTCCCTGTTCATGGCCCCACATCCACGTCTCCTTATCTCGATTGCTTCTTTTATCCATCTTTTGCATTTCTGTTGTTCGGTGTCTATGATCCTTGTGTTGTCCCAGTCCATTATATGGTTTTCTCTTATGCAGTGATCTGTTACGGCTGACTTTATTGTACTTTCTGCTTCTTCTTTTGCTGCTCTTGTGTGTTTTCTACTTGCCTCTTTCTCACACTCCTTTCTATGTTCTATTGTTCGTGTGTTGAGTTGGCGTCCGGTTTCTCCTACGTATGTTTTATTGCAAAGTTTGCATGGGATTTCGTAAATGACTCCACATTTAAGTCCAGCTGATATTTTGTCTTTTGGGTGCACTAGTCTGTTTCTAACTGTTGTGTATGGTTTTGTTGGTGTGTTTATGTTGTGTTTTTTCATTGTTGCTCTTATTTTTTCTGTTATGCCTCTGATGTATGGTAGGGTTATCACTGGTTTTGGTTCTTGTCTTTCTGGGTTTCTGGTTCTTTGCTTAGGTTGTTCTTTTCTTTCTGTTGTGTTTGTTGTTTTCCTTTGTTTATCGCCCATAGTCGGGTATCTGCAGGTCTAAAGCGTGTTGTATGTGTTTGTCCTCTTGTTTACGGTCTCTTTCTTCTGTTATTATGTTTGCTCGGTGATATAGTGTTCTGATTACTGACATTTTGTGTATGGTTGGGTGTTCTGTTGTACATAATAGATATTGCTCTGTGTGTGTTGGTTTCCTATATGTGTTTATGTTTAGGGTCCCGTCGGTCTGCCTGGTTATTTTCATATCCATAAATGCTATGCTGCCTTCTGTTTCCGACTCATAAGTGAATTTTATGCTGCCTGTGTCGTCAATGTTAGATGGAGTTTACACGTTGGACCGCGCATGGGACTGCATCGTCGGAGAGGGAGAGTGGGCAGCAGAGGGCGACAACGTCCTCTGCTGCCCACGGATAGATGGAGAAGGACCATCAGCGTCAGCCTGAGGAAGTCTGCAGCCGCAGACGAAACGTAGCAGGAAAACAGGTAACGAAACTTTTTCCTGTGTTTTAAAAAGCACGACAGCATGGAATTAGAACCACGACACGGCATTGAACACACCTAAAACTGTCAGTGTTGTGCCGTTGTCAGGTAAAAA